GAATTGCAGTTAAAGTGGCATGTGCAGTGATGAGGGGGAGTGACCGGTGGAGTGTTATAGCCAGGCAGTGGGGGGCCGGGCTCTGTTGATGAGCCCGACTGCCGACGGGAAGAAACTGTTCGTGTGGCGGGAGGTCGTAGTCCTGATGGACCTCAGCCTCCTGCCAGATGGAAGGGGCACAAACAGTTTTTGTCCGGGGTGGTAGGGGTCGGCCGCGATCTTTTTAGCTCGCTTCAGAGACCTGGAAGCGAACAAGTCCTGCAGGGACGGCAGATTGCAGCCGATCACCCTCTCTGCAGAGCGGATGACCCGCTGAAGCCTGCCCTTGTCCTTGGCTGTGGCTGCAGCGTACCAGACGGTGATGGAGGAGCAGAGGATGGACTCGATGATGGCCGTGTAGAAGTGGACCATCATCGTCTTTGGCAGGTTGAGTTTCTTCAGCTGCCCCAGGAAGAACAACCTCTGCTGAGCCTTCTTGGTGATGGAGCTGATGTTCAGCTGCCACTTGAGGTCCTGGGTGATAATGGAGCCCAGGAAACGGAAGGAATCCACAATAGTGACGGGGGAGTCACACAGGGTGATGGGAGAGGGTGGGGCTCTGTTCCGCCGGAAATCCACAACCATCTCCACTGTCTTTAGAGCGTTGAGCTCCAAGTTGTTCTGGCTGCACCACGACACCAGATGGTCAGACTCCCACCTGTAGGCGGACTCGTCCCCACCAGAGATTAGTCCAATGAGGGTGGTGTCATCCGCAAACTTCAGGAGCTTGACGGACTGGTGACTGGAGGTGCAGCTGTTGGTGTACAGGGAGAAGAGCAGAGGGGAGAGAACGCAGCCTTGGGGGGAACCGGTGCTGATGGTCTGAGAGGCTGAGACATGTTTCCCCAGCTTCACGTGCTGCTTCCTGTCAGACAGGAAGTCTGTGATCCACTTGCAGGTGGAGTCGGGCACCTGCAGCTGGGAGAGTTTGTCCTGCAGCAGAGACGGGATGATAGTGTTGAAAGCAGAGCTGAAGTCCACAAACAGGATCCTGGCGTAGGTTCCTGGGGAGTCCAGATGCTGGAGGATGTAGTGGAGGGCCATGTTGACAGCATCGTCCACAGACCTGTTGGCTCTGTAGGCGAACTGCAGGGGGTCCAGGAGGGGGTCGGTGAGGGACTTCAGGTGGGTCAGGACTAGCCGTTCAAAAGACTTCATGACTACAGAGGTCAGGGCGACGGGCCTGTAGTCATTGAGTCCTGTGATCCTGGGCTTCTTGGGGACAGGGATGATGGTGGAGGCCTTGAAGCAGGCTGGTACGTGGCATGTCTCCAGGGAGGTGTTGAAGATGTCAGTGAACACCGGAGACAGCTGGTCAGCACAATGCCTCAGGGAGTGAGGGGAAACGGAGTCCGTACCGGCTGCCTTACGGGGATTTAGTCTTCTAAAGAGCCGGTTAACGTCTCTCTCCAGAATAGAGAGGGTCGTTGCTGGTGGGGGAGGGGAAGGTGATATAGATGAAGAGGCGTGAGCACCTGATGGGCTGGGGGAGGGAGGGGAGGGGGACTGCAGCAGGTTGGTGGAGCTGTGGGGGATGGGATCAGGACATTGTCTTTCAAATCTGCAGTAGAACTCATTGAGCTCGTCTGCCAGGCGGAGGTCATTCATGGAGTGGGGGGTTTTGGGCTTGTAGTTGGTGAGGTGTTTGAGGCCTCTCCAGACCGAAGCAGAGTCACTTGCTGAGAACTGTTGTTGGAGTTTCTCAGAGTACAGTCGTTTAGCATCTCCTCACCGCCTTGCTAAACTTGTATTTTGCCTCTGTGTACAAGTCTTTGTCCCCACTCCTGAATGCCTGATTCTTCTGCAGGCGTAGTGTTCGGAGTTCCGCTGTGAACCAGGATTTGTCGTTGTTGTAACTCACCCTGGTGCATGATGGTACACAGCTGTCCTCACAGAAGCCGATGTAGGAAGTTACAGCCACTGTGAACTCATCCAGACTGTCAGTAGCAGTCCTGAAAACATCCCAGTCTGTGCAGTCAAAGCACGCCCGAAGATCCTCCAGCGCCTCACTGGTCCACTTCTTGAATTCCCTCACCACAGGTTTGCAGAGCTTTAGTTTCTGCCTGTATGCAGGAATCAGATGGACCATGACGTGGTCAGAGTGTCCCAAGACAGCACGAGGGACGGCGTGATAAGCCCTGCTTACTGTGGTGTAACAGTGATCCAGCGTGTTCTCCTCTCTGGTGGGGCATTTAATAAACTGTCTGTATTTAGGAAGTTCATGGCTGAGATTTCCTTTGTTAAAGTCCCCGAGGACAATAACTAAAGAGTCCGGGTTGGTCCGCTCCACACGCCGTATCTGGTCGGCGAGTGTCCGCTGTGCCTCGTGCACGTTGCCCGCCGGCGGCATGTAAACACCGACCAGGATGAATAAAGCGAACTCACGGGGGGAATAAAAGGGTTTGCAGTTGATGAAAAAAGTTTCCAGATCAGGAGAACAGTGTTGTAGGATCACCGTTACGTCGTTGCACCAGTTGTTGTTGAAGTAGAAGCAGATTCCTCCCCCTTTGTCTTGCCGGAGAGCTCCGTGTCGCGGTCCGCTCGGAGCTCTAGCGCTCCAGCTGGAAGCCCGCCAGCTGGAGCGCGGAGTCCGGTATCGATCCGCAGAGCCACGTCTCCGTGAAGCACAAAACGGAGGATGTAGAGAAGTCTCTGTCTCTCCTCATCAGCAGCTGAATTTCGTCCAGTTTGTTGCACAGTGAGCGCACGTTGGAGAGAAAGATGCCTGGCAGCGGAGTGCGAGAACCACGCCTGCGGAGTCTCACCAGCGAGCCGGCCCGTTTTCCTCTCCTACGGCGTCTCACCGCGTAACGAAAGGTGAGCGCACCTTTGACTAGAATGTCCAGTAATTCCACGGAAGAAAGCAGGAAAGTTGGAAGTAACTCCGCTGGAGTTGTTCCACGGATGTTCAAGAGCTCATCTCTGGTGAAAGAGCTCCGGGAATCGCAGCAGCAAACGTAATTAACAACAAAAAAAAAACAAAAAACGAAGCGCACCGAAGCACCGAGGCGGCCATCAACGGCGCCATCTTGGATCACATATCAATATTACCCATTCTATTATTTTTCTTTGTATTTGCTGTAATGTTATGGCGTTGTTTTCTAGGACCATGTTTATGATTTCAGTTTCCTGTTCAGGAGACAGAACACGTTCCCGACCACCTTGTGTTGGTAATCTTTCAGTTCAGCCCAACAAATAGTAAAATACTGTAAATACAAAGTAGGTATACCATTTAAACCGCTACACTGGTATAAGATTTTCCTTACAGTATAAATGGTGTTAAACCGTAACAACTCACGTTGCTCTTCGGAAGGTGGCAGAATTTATTTTTACACGTCATCCCAGGGTGTGTAGCGATTGAGTCGTGGTTATAACCTTATAACAACAATGAATAACCCACAACAAACACTCTTTGAACTTTTTTTTTTCAAATTTATGTTTTCACACCACCGTTTCCCCTCAAGAGTTTATAGTATGAGTATTTTCATCTTGAATCCATCAACCAGGTTTTTAAGCAAATCAATGTTAATGAGGCCACAGGTCCAGATGGTGTATATGCTTATTTATGTGCAGGAAAGTTTTTTGTAACAGTAGACACTGTGGGCCTCAATGCTTTTGTGCCCACTTCAGGCCTGTATGTTTTGCAACGTGTGCGCCACGGCGAGGTATCTACAAAAATGGGGAAAGTGGGAGTTTCCTATAAAGAGATGAGAGGGGATGCGTAAAGTGCGCCTCATTGTGTTTTGCATCTCCGACCCAGCGTTCACATTCCATTCCAGCAGTTGTTAAACTCCTCGCTACATTACAACCATCAGCATCAGTATCATTTCAAACAGTCATAGCATCAGTTGTATGCTGCAGCGTAAACTGAAGTGTCACAGCGCGCATTGACCATGGAGCTGAAAACGCTACGTTCGCAAATGTACGTACTATGAGGGCCTGAATGTTTCCAAGACGAATTTCCTTCGGGACAATAAAATCTATTGGTGCCAAACCAACCTTTTTTAAAAGCAAAATAATACATTTTTGTGTCTAAATCCTACTTTTTTATCTCTCTAAACATTGCCGTTACTGAAGGAAAGAAGAAAAACATTGGTGTGATTCAAAACTCTTGTATTGGTAATAGTTGCATCTGTGTACTGTGTGTGTGTGTTAGTCCAATTAGTATGATGCAATATCCCAAACACACGGCTGATGTAAGGACACTGTAATGAGGGTCATTAGTGGGCCATCCCCCATGGGAGTGGCCTGACTGCAGCCAGTCCCTAAACAGCTAATTATGACCCAGTAGTCCCAGTATGAAGGCCTCTGGGGAAACTAAGTTTTCTGAAACAACAGGATGATGAGGTCAGTGTTTTCAGTATTAACTTTTGGTATCAGCTAACAAAGTTGTGTTAGTGCCTAAACCAAAACACAAATACAAATTTATTACACAAAATTACACAAATTTTCCACAAATGTTTTAGATTTTTATTTTAGCTTCTTACCTTCAATGAAGCCACCCATCCCATTTTATCCCTGACGTTCGCACTCATTGATTATCAACCTAACGTGGTTTTATGTTTGTATGAGTTTTTATTCCTCTCCCGTTTTTATTGATTTTCTACAAATACATTATTCAACTGAGATTGAGAGATTCTTGCTTTTAGTTTTCTTTCTATCGTTTCGACACAGTTAGCAGATGTCAAACAGGTCATGGAGCTGATTGAGAGACTTTAAAACACAGAGACGCTGCTGCCATTCGCGTCGTAGTTGCTCTCCACGCTCTCACTATAAAGTCAAAAAGAAATACATAAACATTTCAATTTTGTTTTGTTTACCTTGACCGCTGCTACCGTTGGGTCTGATGGCGGTGGGCCCTGCCTTGGTTTCACATCTGGTTGGGTTGATCCGGGCCCGTCTGCCACAGCTCGTCTCTGAGAGGGGGAGAGGGGTTAACTTCAGGGCGCCGTTGGCCTTGTTCTTTGCCCTCCTCTTCGTCACTGACTCCAGACTGTCCAATTCCAGCCTAGCCACACAGCTGGCCTTCCTCACCGGCCCACAGCGAAGAGTGGTGGCTGCTTCTGACCAGGGAAAGACCACCACGGGCTTGTTGCACACAATACAATACAAAGAGTCTCCATTAGACAAATCCGCTTTGTTCCTTCCTGAAGGGGTTCACCACACATCCAGGTGTGTATCGCCCACGCATGAGCTCCTGCAGAACTTGTACTCGGTGCTCGGTTCTAAAACACACCTTCCTCTCAGGCCCTCCTATCATCTCACGACAGTGTAGCCCAGTCAGACTATGGACCGTTTCTAGCGCCTCTGCCTGATAAGATGCCCGAGGGTGAGGAGGCCATGAGGATCTTTTGTCTGGTGAAAAACAACCAGCCACTGGTCAGACATTCCAAGATGTTTTACTTAACTAAAAGTAGTAAATGTAACAAGTACAAAGTCCTGCATCAAAACTCTTTCTCAAGTACAAATGTACTATTATTATGTGAACACATATAGAGGGTTCGTTGTACCAAGTTGAATATTACTGCCATGGTTTGTGGGAACCACACTAAGACCATAAGGACGGATTTAAGTAGAGGTGTGGATTTGAAACTGCCTCACAGATAATTAATACGATTTCAAGTTGTGAGAAGGGGTCTTTCATTGTCTTCTGTTCACAAAGAACAGAGGAAGTGTAGGAGACGTAGTACGAGGGATTCGCGGCGGTTGGAGCAGCCTCCATCGCCTCACATTGGACCGCCTCGTCCCCGGAAGGGGGGCTTGGTCGGGAGAGGAGCTTAGGGCGACTGAAAGCGAAGCCAGGCCCTTCTCCAGGGGTGGAAAGTTCCGTCCTTTTCTCCCCCGCTACGAGTCGACGGGAAGCTGCTGTTTGCGTCCACAAACCACAGAGCTTTGGAAGAAAGGTCTCCACCAATCAGCTCCTTCTGTCTTTAGCCAAACCTCCTGCACTGGTAAGAGGAGGAGACCTGTCAATCAATGCAATCATCAAGCATCCATTCTTTTTTGGATCTGTCTTTTAAGACGACCAATCGCCATATTGTGAATATAGCAGACGGCGTATTTATCAGGAATCACAGTAATATCACCAAATAACGACTGAATACATCTGATGATGCTTGATAAATACAGGCTGAATGTTAATACCACACATTATCCTTCATCTGTTTCTGCATTTGCAAAGACCATCTTTGGTTCATTCAGAAAAGGTTGAAAGGTGACAAGTTCATCATTCATTGAGCATCTTTCAACTTACAAACATGCTTATGATCATCAATCGTCATCTGATCACCATCCACCTTTTTCTTCTGACCCTCTTTCGGCTCCTTTTTTACCTGCTCCTGCGCTGCTATTCTCTTTCAATAACGTATATTTCTGTTGCCGCTTTTTTTCTTGTCATCTTCCACCTGCCAACATGGAGGTCCATTTTTAGAGAAATCTAATCACAACCAGGGAGAAGGTGTCTCTACTGGAGGGAGCAGTGATGACTACGCCTACCCTCCTCCTCCAGTCCAGGTTCACAGTCTGAGCTTTCCCAATTCCCCAGTCTTTTACAAAAAGACTCATAGCGCACACAGCACCCTCCAGTCCTGCCTCCCGTCGCTCCGCTCCACCAACCGCTGGCATGGGACAGGGGTTTCAAACTCCATCTCATAACATTCTCCAAGGATCTCCTCCGAGTCATCCATCAACGACCCACCAACAATCCCAACCGGCACGGAACAGGCAGGAGCATCCAGAGCTCACCGCACAGCGCAGCATGAAGGAACTCAGGTCCGCCGTCCAGACGGTGGCCGCCTGCGCCAAGCACGGAGCTCGAGACGTCCGCCATCTTGGCCAAGAGATGGTGGCTGCGGCAGAGATGATCACCGACGGCGTGGGAGAGAACGCCCAGGCGCTGAACCTGCTGGCCGAGGTGGTGGACAAGCTCCCTCAAACAAACACACAGAGGTGAGGCCTCCGCGAACGCCCAAACGGGGGACTCCTCCCCCACCTTCTCCAAGGGTCTCCTCGATGTCTCCGAAAGACGTCCGCAAACTTCCCACGCCTTACCAAACGCACCTCCCGTCCTCGTCTTCTTCTTGCTCTTCTTCGTCTTTGTCTTCGGCGGTCAGTTCCAAACCGGATGGCTTCGCAACATCGAAGAGACGCCAACGAACGAACGGAGGCTCCAAAAGAACGGTGGTGACCTTTGGCGCGACCCACAGGGAAGGTCGGACTGGTAGTAATGGACAGGTGAGGCTCAGCCACGGAACAGTCTCGAGAGCTACCCTAGTTTAACTTTGCCAGTGTTTGAGCAAGTGTTCAGATACCTTACTAATACTATACTATGTTGCCTTCATCCCATCCTCCATCCATCCTTTGTATCCTTCACAAATTACACTCCTCTCTGTTTGTACAGAGCTGCACTAAGACTTGTTCATTGCTGCTTCTGTAGCTGTTAGAGGTTGTTAAATTTGGAACTATTGTCTGTATGTCAGGGGCGACGATAAGGAGGGACGAGGACACGGGGGAGATCTACATCGCCAGGGTGATTCACGGAGGACTGGCTGACCGCAGCAGTAAGCTAAATATGTATTAAATATAACGCGCAATAACGCAGATAGAATAAGACCAGAATGTGCAAAATCATGGCCTAATTTGCACGTTTCCCAGGACTCCTCCATCCTGGTGATCTGTTAGTGGAAGTAAATGGAAACCCTGTGGTGGGTCTGGAGCCAGAACAGATCATCCAGATACTGGTAGGAAATCTGAGGGAAAAATAAATATAACAATTGATAATCAAAAGTTATTTTCATGGGCTTAGTTGGGGGTTTGCTGTCTTGTCTTGATTTAAGAGTTAAGTAAGGGGGTAAGCAGGATCTGCCAAGCAGGCAGACACGAGTCCGACAGGATGGGGAGTCAGTTTCTGTCCTGGCTGAGGAATGTAAGGTCTGCGGGTCAACTAGAAGATTTACCAGCCAAGGGGGGTTAGAGACACACCAACACTATTCAACATACACACTCTGTTTACGATGTTTACGTTAAGTCAGGAGTCTGGACATTGGATGTGACCGGATCTTAGATGCGGGAGGTGGAAGGTCCTCCTCTACGCCAGTTTAGGGCCAATAGAAATATTTCCTTCTCTGTCTTTTCGGGTTATAAAACATGATGTTCTTGCTGATGTTAGTTAGTTGTTCTTCCGGCCTGTGTGCTGCCTGAACTGCTCCTGCCTTTGCAAACGCAGCGCTGATACTTGACCTGTGATCTGACAAATAAATTTTCCAGAACGAGAGAAGTTATTCGGCTGAATTTTTGATAACCCCGACCAGGCTCCAAATCTTGAACGCGTATTCTTACACAATATTGAACATTATAAAGCCCAAAAGTGGTAGCCCAATCGGTAGATTTTTTCATTTTCATTTGTAGTAATGATGCAAAAACTATCCGTGCACGATGGCTGCAAATGGCTCCTGAGTGGTTTCTGGACGGAAAGTGCTCCTACTTGTGCTCACCGTCTGATTATCAAAACAATCAGTTATTTATCAGTTTTTGCTGTATTTGCAGATAAATTCCCAGGGAACGATCCTGTTCAAAGTATTCCTGAAAAAGCTCAAAGCAACAGCAGACAGAAATCGGTGAGAAACATCCAGCAAACATGCTCAGATGGTGGAGGAAATACTTTTTCTAAAAGTACAAATAGATTAGTGTAAAAATACCATCTTTCAAGTTCTGCATTCAAAATCCTACGTGAGTAAGAGTACATAAGTATTATCAGCTTTGCAGTGTGACATGATATCCGATTCTATCTTACATTATGAGACATTCAATAATTTCCCCTCTTTTGGCCTCACGGCTTTATTTAAATGAAAATACCTGGGAGAAGTTTTCAGGGCGTCTCTTTGATGGAACCGCTAACATCTCATGTACACCTGGATTGAAAAGATGGTGAAAAGTGATGTTTGAACCTGGGAGATTTCGGTTAACCTCCCTCTCTGTGTGTGTGTCAGGTATATATGAGAGCACTGGTGGACTATTTCCCCTTGCAGGACTCCTCCATCCCCTGTCCCGATGCAGGGATGGCGTTCAGCCGAGGAGAGCTGCTGGAAGTGGTCGACCAGTCGGACGCACACTGGTGGCAGGCCAGGAAGCTCCCGTGCTCCACTTCCTGCGCTGGTCTGATTCCCTCTGCCAGGAATGCTGAAGAGGTGACGCCTCACGCACCCTGAATGTGGACCCTAATCTGGTTTCATCATCCCCCAACAAATCTTTAAGGGTCACACTTTTATTAGTATACAATACAGGCCGTAAGATTTTTTTTAATATGCATTCAGCCTTCATGTAATTAATATGAAAATGAAATCCTGATTCAACTCCCTCCATACAACATACTGAACCGATATTCAAACTTTTAAACAAATAAAACAAGTAAAAAAGGATAAGGATAAAATAAATTAGCATTAGCATCACAAGGCAAAGTGACTAAGGGTTAAATATTGAAATGAATGAATCGATGCAGCTTTATCTAATATCAGGCAACTAAACTCTGTATTCTCTCATGAAACAAGTTGTTTGATGCTGTATCTGAAATGTATTGTGTATCATCCCTCTCTCATCTCATTTGAGCTTGTGTAGCAGTAGTATCTGGGCTGGCTACGGTTTATTCCCCTATAACATTATTAATATTAGAAGATATGTTTAAAAGTTATAGAGTAGTTTATTAAGTTTTGCACAAAAGGGTAATATTAGCATTAATAGATGCATTCGCCACATTGTTAAACAGGTGTTTAAACATACGACACAGAAGAACTACCTTTGAAAGCACAGCGTGTACATTGTGAACGTGACTTTAAAGCAACAAAGAAGCCTTTGACAACGTTTCGTTTCCGTCTGTCCTCAGTGACTTACAATAATAACGGTGAGTGAGAGCGATGTTCGCTCAACGTCTCCGCTTTTCTTTCATTAAAACAGTTGGTCCAATAGTTTAGCATCTGTTTGTGTGACTTAGGTTTGATTTAGTAGGTTTGTGACTATATTAAAAATGTGAGTATTACAGTAAGTCACTGTCATGAATCATGAGTCAAGGGGCCGTACTGTGCAGGTGTTACAGCGTGTTTATATTTCTTTATCTGTCGAGGGGACACTAATTTATTAAAACTGACCTGAATTGACCCCTGCTGTACTGTAAAGTTAATATGTGTGAGCTTGATCATTATCATTAGTAAACCTCATACACATACAAATGTCTGTACCTGGGATGCATTATATATATATATATATATATATATATATATATATATATATATATATATAAAAAAACCTGTATCTCCATTCTCCTGAAACAACCCCTCCCCCCCCCCCCCCCCCCCCCACCCTTCTTCCGGGAGACTTTAGCTGACATACGCTCCTCCTTCTCAAACCCACTTCCTACTTCTCGCGTCCCACCGACCTCACCTTTTTCGCCCTCACTTTCCTCTTTCATCGCCCTCTCTCCTAACCAAATTCTTACCCTAGTAACATCTGCCCGTCCGACCACCTGCCCTCTTGACCCCCTCTTTTAATTTATAATTTTATTTGCTGTTTTTAATTGTCTTAATTCCTGCATTTTATTTTCACTTTATTGTATGAAATGTTATGATGTGAAGCACTTTGACACTTGGTCTTCTCATTTGCAGCGCATGAAAGCACTGTTTAAACGTTTGGCTGAGGCACACCTCACAATAAATTTGGCAAAGTGTGAGTTTGCTCGAGCGACAGTGACGTACCTGGGACGGCAGGTTGGGCAGGGTACAGTGCGTCTCCTGCATGCGAAAGTACAGGCAGTTGAGTATTATCCACCTCCAGCTACAAAAAAAGATCTTATGAGATTTCTGGGTTAGGTGGGTTACTACAGGGGTTTCTGTAGAAATTTTTCGACTGTGGTAGCACCACTGACATATCTTTTGAAGAGTAAGGTAAAATATATCTGGTCTCCTAGCTGCCAAACAGCTTTTGAAAAGGTGAAGGAAATTCTGTGCAATGCTCCTGTTTTGGCAGCTCCTTCCATGGACAAACCGTTTAAACTTCAGGTGGATGCCAGTCATGTAGGGGCGGGTGGGGTGCTGTTACAACAAGATGAGTTTGGTATTGAAAATAAATTCGAAAAAACAAAACAAAACAAACATCAGTTGAATTATTCTGTAATTGAAAAGGAAGCATTGGCTCTGATTTGGGTTCAGGTCCGGTGATTATTTATACAGATCACAATCCATTGACATTTTTGAACTCACTACACTGCCCAAATCAAAGACTTGTTAGGTGGTCTTTATTTCTCCAGTCATACAACTTGGATATACATCATGTGAAGGGCAGAGATAACATTGTTGCAGATGCTTTGTCCAGAGCCCCATGTCAGTGATTGTTCTCTAGTTCTTCATTGTGGTGTCTCTATCTCACTCTTAAATCGCTTCCAGGTACCAGTTGCAGAGATGAGTGTGAGGCTACAGGATGAAGGCGAAAGGAGCAAGTACTGTTCAGGGGACTTTGTATTGGGTCTAGTGACAGTTAGGTGTAAATAGAACTTTAAGGAATAATTTAAGACCGTTACAATAATAAAAAAAAAGTTTAAATGTTATAACTTTTTAGTGGTTGTTGGTCAGGGTTCCGGTGGGGACCCTGTCTTTATGGGCGGGGGTGTGACGGCCCCAGGGCCACTGCCAGGGTATTTGTGGGTGTGTCTCTGTCTGTGTTACAGGGTGAACTTCCTGGTGGAGTGGAGCTGAGGCCATCAGGCAGATCAGACGCAGCTGGCCACTGTCTTGAGTGCATTAAAACCTGCCCCTTTCTGAGTGTTTGGGCGCGACTTCTGGCTTCCTCCTGTTCCCCAGCGCAATGGCGGTTTCGTTTGTCTAATCGGTTAATTTGGAGAATAACAATTGTTGGCTGATAATCCCTGTAGCGTGGTTTCTTGTATTTGTTGTAGCCTTGGAGCCGGATCATAACAGGCTGCTTTGGCTCTGGACGGAACCCTGCGGAACTCCCGTAGTAAGAGGACAAGGTTCCGACACAGATCCTCTCCAGGTTACCCGGTAGGTGCGGCCGTCGAGGTAGGACGAGAGAAGGGAGAGAGCAGAGCCTCGGGGGGCGCTGGTACAACGCCACCTCCTCGTAGGGGGTGGAGTAGGCACTGGTGTTGGGGGTGCAGGAGGTGCAGGACTGCCGTCTCTTCCTGTAGGACGTCCTCCTCCAGAGACGGAAACTCTGACGGAAACCAGCTGGTGGAGACAATTCATTCACTTATTGTAACTGTGACACAGTTACAGCATTTTTTATGAACTAAACTCTCTCAGGAATTAGGTGTAGAAATGAATGTGTAACTTTACTCCATATAAAGTCTCATCAAATTGGAAAATGTATTTGGTAAATATGTAAATGGTTGTTACCTAGGTAGATCCCATCCGAAATATCAAGGCAAGGCAAGGCAATTTTATTTGTATAGCGCTATTCATACACAAGGCAGACTCAAAGTGCTTCACATCATAACATTTCATACAATAAAGTGAAATAAAATGCAGGAATTAAAAGACAATTAAAAACAGCAAATAAAATTATAAATTAAAATCTTATTTAAATTGTTTAATTAAAGGCACAGGTTTAGCAGAAGGCGAAGCTGAACATAAAAGTTTTCAGTCTTGTTTTAAACGTGGTCAGAGTTTGGGCCATTCTTAAAGCTTCAGAAAGTTTATTCCAGCTGTTGCGTAGTAACTAAATGATGTTTTCCCATGATTTGTATTTACTCTGGCAATCACTAACAGATTGGTGTCAGAAGATCTTAGTGATCTTGAAGGCTTATGTAGTGGAAGCATATCAGTGATATACTTTGGCCCTAAACCATGTAGTGATTTATATGTGAGCAGTAGGATTTTGAAATTAATTCTGACATACTGGGAGCCAATGTAAGGATTTAAGAATTGGTGTAATGTGCTCACATTTTTTGGTCTTTGTTAGAACTCTAGCAGCAGCGTTCTGAACAAGCTGGAGCTGCCTGACAGTTTTTTTTGGAAGACCCGCAAGGAGACCATTACAATAGTCTATACTATTTCAATGTCATGCTCAATGTCATGCTCCAAAACATGTGTACGAGACGGCACATCTCCAAACAGACCGGAATACTCCAGTATAACCTCCATTAATTCTGTGCGTTGAAGCTCAGACAAGTGAGACAATACACCGTTTGAATCCAAAAGTACCTCTGAGTTTTTAAGCCGACCAGTTAACAATGCAGAGTCATGATTTGGTAAATCATCCCCACAAGCAGCTTCGCTATCATACCAAACTGTGTTACCAACACACACCGGATGAGCATCATCTGGCTCAATTCCTGAGATACCCGGGTATGATATGCCTTCAACAGGTTGACATGACAAAGTTGGTGGTTTTTTTTTATGACGTTCTGGAGTGGCAATCAGGTAGTTTAGCTCTGACAACTTCTTCACTACCGTGTAAGGTCCCAAAAACTTTGCTTTCAATGGTGAGTTGACAATAGGTAATAAAGCCAAAACCGGAACGCCCACGCAAAAACTACGCCGCTCCGCTCTTCGGTCATAAAGATGTTTCATCTTCCCCTATGCCGAAGTCAGCTTTTCCCAGGCTAACTCTGTAGCAGAGTAAAGGCGCTGCCTAAAACCATTGACATACTCTAGCAAATTTTGAGGTGGCTGAGATTCCTTCCACTCGTTTTGCAGAGCAGCTAACAGCCAACCTGTACACTCTTGTGCTACCTCTCTTGCTGCCAGCAACAACCATGGTAACCTGTCCTCCAAATCAGCATTCATCTGCACACAGTATGCCCTCATCATTGATTTTAAAGTTTGATGGAAACGTTCCAGCGCTCCTTGGCTTTGTGCATGGTACGCAGACGACTCGTTGTGCTGCACATGCAACAGTTTCAATACCTGTGCGAACAAGTGAGAGGAGAAATTCGACCCTTGATCACTCTGAATGGTTCTAGGTATGCCGAAGATGGATATGGACTGACCCAGAGCACGCACCACTGATTTTGCTGTTAGCGTGCGTAACGGATATGCTGCTGGGTAT